TAATTTAAAGGCCATTTTTAATTTGTTTTTGCTTTGTTTTTCAAGACAGAGTCTCTTTGTGCAGTCCTGGCTGCCCTAGAATTTGCTCTGCAGACCAGGCTGGGCTTGAACTCACAGAGATGCCCCTGCCTCTGCCTCCGACTGCTGGGATTAAAGGCGTGCACCACCACTGCCAGGTTAAGAAAAAATGTTTTTTTAATCGCTCTGGTTTTGAGCTTGGGGATGTAGCTTGGTTGGTAGAATTCTTGCCGAGCAAATGCACAGCCCTGAGTTCGCCTCCAAGTTCTACACAAGTGGGGCAAGGTGGAGAACTCCTGGCATCTCAAGACTCAAGGGGTGGAAGCCAGGACCACAAGTTCAAGGCCATCCTCAGTTACAGGCTCCGTGAGACTCTGCCAAAAATAATAATAACAACAACAATAATAATAAGAGGCAGGGGCCTGGAGAGATGGCTCAGAGGTTAAGAGCACCAACTGGTCTTCCAGAGGTCCTGAGTTCAATTCCCAGCAACCACATGGTGGCTCACAACCATCTGTAATGAGATCTGGTGTCCTCTTCTGGACTGCAGTCATACATGCTGTATACATAATAAATAAATGAATCTTTAAAAATAATAATAATAATAATAATAGGCAGAAGTATTGCAACAAGTTTAAGTGATGCCCTGTCTCAAAACAAAACAGAACAACAACAAAAACAGAGGCAGCAGTGGTGGCGCACGCCTTTAATCCCAGCACTCGGGAGGCAGAAGCAGGCAGATCTTTGTGAGTTCAAGGCCAGCCTGGTCTAGAGAGTGAGTTCCAGGAAAGACGCAAAGCTACACAGAGAAACCCTGTCTCGAAAAACCAAAAAAAGAAAGAAAAACTAAGAACAAACAAAAACCAAAAAACAGAGCCAGGCGCACAGGATTTTAATCCTAGCATTGGAGAGATAGAAGAAGGCAGATCTCTGTGGGTTGAGGCCATTCTAGTCTGCATAGTGAGTTCCAGGTCAGCCAGGGTTATGTAGAGACCCTGCCTCAAAACTAACAAAGAAACAAATAAAAGTCAGAATGTATCCGCCTGGGTTCTGGACCTGTATTAGCATTAATAGGCTCCGCCATTATCACAGCCCACAGGGAGCCAGGGCATCACACCTATCTGCAATCCCAGCAATCTGGAGGCTGTGGTGGGAGGATGGCTATGAATTTGAAGCTAGTCTGGGCTTAGCAGTGAATTCCCTGACAGCCAGAGCAACAGAGTGAGCTATCTCAAAGCAAAACAAGCTGGGCGGTGGTGGTGGTGGTGGTGGTGGTGGTGGTGGTGGCACACACCTTTAATCCCAGCACTCGGGAAGGCAGAGCCAGATGGATCTCCGAGATCGAGGCCAGCCTGGTCTACAGAGTGAGATCCAGGACAGGCTCCAAAACTACACAGAGAAACCCTGTCTCGGTGAAGGAAAAAAAAAAAAAACAACCCAAAGAGGAGTAGCAGCAACACCTGCTGGCCATTCTGCCTCCCTTAGAATGTTCCAGTGATCTTCCATATTAGGGCCAGGCCAGGCCACAGCATTAGCCAAGGCAGGACTGCCTTGTCTGCAGCTGGTGGGCTTGAAGCCCGCCACCACCAAACCAGGACCCTGAGCCATATGGTGGTAGTGCACACCTTTAATTCCAGCACTCGGGAGGCAGAGGCAGGCGGATCTCTGTGAGTTGGAGACCAGCTTGGTCTACAGAGAGAGTTCCAGAACAGCCAGGGCTACACAGAGAAACCCTGTCTCGAAAAACCCAGCAATAACCAGAACCCTGCTGAGAAGCCCTGCCTGGAGCCCATTTCCCCACGGTCTCCTCCACCAGGCCATGCCGTGTCAGAATCTTCCAGGAGCCTACAAAAAGGACTCCACAGAGCTTGCTCTCAAGACCCAGTGTCCCATTCTGTAGAAAACCTCTGCAGCTACCTTACAGTGTCCCACCTGCACAGCTGCTGGTATGGGCACCTTTACAGAGGAGGAGACTTATCCAAGGCCACCCAGCTGCTGGTGCTGCGGTTCAGTCTCAGGACATCTGGATCTGGGGGTCCCCTTCTCATGTTTCCACTTCCAGGGATGAGGGGTGCAGATAGTAGTCTTACAGTCTTTACCACTGACAGGCAGGAAGTAGGTTCAGCTGTCTGTACAGGAGAATCAAGGAGGAAGTGTGGGCTGGTGAGATGGGTCAGCAGGTACAGGTACTCGCTGCCACGCATGAAGGCCTGTGTTTGACTCAGGGGACCCCATGATGAAGAGAACTGGCTACTCTGACCTCCACCTAGGGGTCTGTGGCAGGCATACACTCACTCACATAAATAATCTTTTCATTTTTAGAAAGGGTTCTCACTATGTACAGGCTGGCCGTCTCGATTGGGATTAAAGATGTGCACCAACATGCCATGCTCTGTTTATTTTGAGACAGGGTGTCCACCTGTGGACTTACACTTTCATTCTCAAGTCTCGATTTCCCAAATGCTGTAAATTACAGGTGCTTGCTGCTGGTCTATGAGGTGCTGGTGTGGATCCCAGGGCCTTTCCATTCTAGACAAGCACTCTACCATGGAGCTACAATCCCAGCCCCTCACTGCTGGATTCTAGGCTGGGCTGAATTACCCAGGTTGGTCTCTGACTTCTGACAATCCTCCCACCTCAGCTCAGCCTGAATTACCACCAATGTCTACAAGAGACTGGAGCTGGACATTTCCCAGATGGAAACAGGTACCCAAGATTAAAATAGACTGGACTGGATGATGGTGGCCCACGCCTTTAATCCCAGCACTCAGGAGGCAGAGGCAGGGGGATCTTTGAGGCCAGTCTGGCCTCCAGAGTGAGTTCCAGACAGCCAGGGCTCCACAGAGAAACCCTGTCTTGGAAAAAACAAACAAGAAAAAAACAAAAGGCCAAAATGGGCTGGAATCTCAGCTCCCAGGAGACAAGAAGGGCGAGGCTGTCGCCAGTCAGCTTCAGGCCAGCTAGGAACACACAGCAAAACCCTGTCAAATCATTAAAATCACGAGGCCAGGGAGCACACGTCTACCTGGAGCGGAGGTGCCAGGCCTGGCTGGCCCTGGGGATTTGAGCGAGCCGGAGCCCAGTGGGAAAGGACGGAGGGAAGCTGAGTGGTCAGGGACTTGTGGTCTCCAGCTGTGCAAGGGGAGCCCAGCCATAAGCTCCGTTCTTCAGGTGACAACTGTTTAGGGGTCGTCAGGGGTCTCTCCCCCTCGTCTCATGGCCTGTCATGGGCACCAAGAAGTCCCAACCACCGCTGGGAGGAAATGGGGGAGCTGGGCTGTTGTAAACACAAGGCCCCACCCCAACGGAAGCACCTGTGGTTGGAGGGGCCACACCTCTCAACAATCGGCTTCAGATTCCTCAGGGTCCCTGTCCCCTGCAGCCCCTCCTCCTGGGTGGCTGGCAGGCTCCCAGCTTGGGCGGTGGCCCCTGACCTGCCCCTGCCCCTTCCTGCTCGCTTTGATGCGGGCCCACTTCCTTTGACAGGAACCCCCTCCCCTGGCGCCCTGGTTAAAGGCAGGAGGCTGAGGCGGGGCAGTGGTGCGGCATCTCTCACAGGCAGAGGACTCTTCCCACGGCCCTGTCTCCCAACCCCTGGACCAGTGCTGTACTTCAGACCCTGGTACAGGCCTGGGGGGCAGGGACCTGGGGACCCCGCAGCGGTGGCTCCAGCTTCTCCCAGGTCTGTCCCCTTCCCACAAACCCGGGATGCCTTGGGTCTTTTTCCTGAGTGGGTGTCCCCACCAGTCCCACATCTGTAACTCCCATCCTGGGGCCTCTTCCCACCCTGCAACTCCACCGTCCTCCCGTCCTGGGCACAGGCCTCTCAACGCAGCAGGCAGTGGGTGGTACATGCTTTTCCAAGGGGCTATCTAAGCAGACTGAGGTTCTCAAGGGGGGAACCGCACCCCTCCACTCTCCAGGTGAGTGTGGGAGGTCTCCCTTTGGTACAGGGAGACCAGAGGCCCAGAGGGAAAGCCCAGGCTGCTCCCTGGGGGCGCTCTAAGGCTTAGACCTAAACTGAGGCCAGGGGCTCCACCCTCCCTTACTTCCTCCCAAGGGACTGGGAGGTGGAGGATGGGCGCCGGCTGCACCAGGTAACTGACCACGTCCACCTGGATGCCAAGATTTATCAAGGGAAGGCAGCAGGTCACCCCAGCTCAGAGAACCCGTGTGTGAAAGCCCTGGCAATCCCCACTCTGGCCCAGACGCAGACTCCAAGCCTGTTGTGTGAGCTAGAAAACCACTTTATTTGTTTCGGGGAATTGTCCAGAGTCCCCTCAGAACTTCTGGAACTGCTTCTTGGTGCCAGCAGCCTTGGTGACCTTGAGCACATTGAAGCGGACTGTCTTGCTCAGGGGCCTGCACTCTCCCACAGTGACGATGTCGCCGATCTGTACGTCCCTGTGGGGTCAGAGGGGAAGGGGTGCTCAGGAGGGCCTGCCCAGCCATCCCTTTGTCCCCACTGACAGGCTGAGGGTGCTTACCTGGCTCCAGGCACCTCAGTGGCCACTCTGGGGTTACCAGGAGTAACAAACTGTCATTTCATTCTCCTAGACATTTAGCTTCCCTTGCCTGCTCTTCCCCAGCAGTCTACATACACCCAGACTCTGAACCAAGACACCCTGCTTTCCCCCAAAGTCACCCTTTTCCAAAGTAAGGGCTCTCCCACCAGCGGCCCTTCCTGACACAGGTGCCCTCTCCAGCCCAGCCAGTGACTCCCTGTCTTGTGTCAGGTTGACCTAGACTATCAAAGAACTGGGTTCACCTGAAACAGGGGGACAGGTGCACAGACATGTTCTTGTGGCGCTTCTCAAAGCGATTGTACTTCCGGATGTAATGGAGGTAGTCCCTGCGGATGACGATGGTCCTCTGCATCTTCATCTTGGTCACGACACCTGAGGGAAGTGGACAGGAAGGAGTCAGCAGCTGGGAGTGACTCGGACTGCGGAGAAGCGGTTGAATGGGGCTCCAGGAGGTCCCCTCTGGCATCAGCTGTGCCAATCGCTCTCAGCAGTGCCCCTCGGGCTGTCTGAAGACCATCGTGAAAACAGACATCATGTGCCAGCGGTCCCGGACGCAGTAGCCCAGGACCACACAACTTCCCACTCACCAGACAGGATCCGACCTCGGATGGAGACGTTACCGGTGAAGGGGCATTTCTTGTCTATGTAGGTGCCCTCGATGGCCTGAAAGGATGAGAAGGCGCGGCTTAGACTGGTTCCTAAATAGAACCAAAAATTTAGCCTCGGCTGGGTGGTGGTGGCCCACGCCTTTAATCCCAGCACTCGGGAGGCAGAGGCAGGTGGATCTCTGTGAGTTCAAGGCCAGCCTGGTCTACAGAGTGAGATCCAGGATGGGCACCAAAGTTACACAGAGAAACCGTGTCTCGAAAAACTAAAAAGAATGCAGCCTCACATCCAGACTACGATTCCCAGGCGCCCGAGGGTCAGCCACTGAGAAAAGGCGTGCCCCCACACATGCAGAAATCCACAAGTCTCAGCGGTTGGAGGGTCCCGTACCTCCTTGGGCGTCTTGAAGCCTAGACCGATGTTTTTGTAGTACCGAGGGAGTTTTTCCTTGCCGGTTTCTCCAAGCAGAACACGCTTCTTGTTTTGAAAGATTGTGGGCTGCTTTTGGTAAGCACGTTCCGTCTGTAGGGATCAACAGTTTGGTGAAGTTACGGGTTAAACTTCGGCAGACCACGCATGTAGCTCTTCTTCCCGCCAGCCCCGGGGGGCCGCTGCCCCACAGCGACCCCGTAGACACAATCACCCACCATCTTTTCGCTTGCACACTAGGTTCTAACGTCTCACGGCCTGCAGGACTCCTGCCCTGGACCAGAACCATGCATGGCCTTTAAGCACGCTGGTTTTCCAGAACACGCCAAGCTCGCCCACTCAGGCCTCACGCCGTATGTACACGCGGCTGAGCCTGGGGGCTGTCACCCGGGTACTCACTAGGCTGAGGCAGGAGGATGACAAGCCCAGGACCTGCCCGAGTTACTGGTGATCTACAGGCCACTCTGGGTCAGAACGCAGAACCACGCCGGCGCCGGGGCGCTCTGCTTACAGCCTCCCCGGCGACCCCGAGGCGCGGCTCATCCTCCACCCGCTACCCCGCCGCCCCCGTTCCCCGCCCGAGCTCCGGCCCCACCGACGGCCGCGCCCCAAACCCTCAGCCGCTGGCCCGGGGTCACAGCCGAACTCCAAAGCGCTCGGGACCCCATACTGCGTAACACCCCGGGTTCGGGGCCGCTCCCCGGGCGGAGACGCGCAGGCGGCCCGCCTCGGCTTCCCGTACGATCGCGAGGCCGCTAAGGAAGGAGATCGGGGCCCGGCCCGGCCCGCAGCGCGCACCTGAATGTCCGCCATCTTCCCGGCAGCCTGAGGAAAGGGCGGCGGGCGCGTGCCAGGGCTTCCTTATTGACTCCGCGAGGCCGGGAGCGGAAGTGACGCCGCCCCGCCCGCACGCACCCGGGAGGCACTTCCGGAGCAGAGCACGCGATTCTGGGACGGTCCGTGCGCCGCCATGATGGAGGACTGCGGGGCAGGAGGCGGAGCTTGTCATCTCGCGAGATCTTAGGCGGCTTCCAAGGCGCACGCCAGGGGCGGGTCCTGCAGGCGCTGCACCCACGTGGACTGGGGACCGCGTGGCGGGGCTCAGCCTCCCGACCAGGAGCGGCCGCGGCCCGCTTGTGGATGTTGATTACGACACCGTGGTTGATGCACGGAACATTGACGTGAAGTCCGGGCGGTTAGCGTCTCCCGGGAGGGCAGCTCGGAGGCGCCGGGGACACCCAGCCCTGCCTGGGGAGTAGGGCGAGGCTGCCGCCCGCTTCCCTGCTTCAGCCGTTAGCTTCATTTCCTTTTGTTAACCCCGAGTGTGCGCACACACACACGTGGCTAGTGTAGACACGCACGCACACACACACGCGCACACACAGTCACAGACACGCGTGGTCAGCACCGCTTCTGCAATCGGATGTTCTTGAAATGATGTCGCTACCTCAACTACCCAGTAGCTGGAACTTCAGTGTTTCAGGCAGGCAGTCTCCAGTTCATTTGCTTGTGTTCGGACCGGTCTGTGCTGTCACAGGCCGTCCTGACCAGGAGGGCCAGCTGCGGTCAATCCTCCTCCTGGGTTTCTGTCCTGACACCGCTGGCTGAATGTGTGACATGACCCCTTCTCTCTCAGATGGAGACGCCACAATAAACTAAGCCAGGCACCTGGGTTTCCTTTTTGTGGCGATAGCAACGTTGTGTAGTTGAAGGTGTGGCTCAGGGAACCGTCCATGTGTATGGACCCACTACCACTCTACATTTAAGAGCCTGTTAGTGGTAGTCCTGTCTTTGATCGCAGCACTGGGGAGGCAGAGGCAGGAGGCCTCCAGGTTTGATGTCAGCCTGGTCTGGAGTGGGTTCCAGCATAGGCAGGCTACAGGAACTGTCTAACGAGGAAAGATCCTGGTCCTAGCAGGGCTTCAGGATGGATGGGACACTTACAACCATGGAGAACTAGACACCGGTTCATGTGTTTCTGAGACAGGGTTTCTCTGTAGTTTTGGTGCCTGTCCTACATCTCTATAGACCACCAGATCTGCCTGGTTCTGCCACCCAAGTGCTGGGATCAAAGGCTTGAGCCACCATCGTTCAGCTTCATTTTGGTATCTGGCTTGGGTTGGGAGGAGTGTATATAACACGTATGGGACTCCAGTGAGGGCCCCATGAGCGTTGGATCCTCTGAAGCCACTAAAATTAAGGCCCCCTGGAAAATCCATCGTTATCCCTGCAACCCTAATCCCTTTATGATAGAGGGACTCTAGTCACCCCAGTTGACCTCCTTTCCAGGCTCACACTGGCTGACCAAACTCACCATTTTCTGTACCTTTTTTATCCTTGGCTTAACTCATTTTGGGTATTCTGAGTTCCTGGAGCCTAAGTTCCACTGACAATCCCATACTTTGCAGCTGAATCAGAATGAAAAACTACCTGCGGCTCGATCTAAGACGATTAGTGCCTGCACCTTTTGACCCATCATCGTGCCTTCAATGGAAAGGGCAGACCATGAACGAGCCGGGCTCAATGTCATCTGAGCTTTATTCCTGATGGTGCCCTGCTGCCCCTGCCTACAGAGCAGACACAGGGCAAACTCCAGTTTCCTCAATAGTCAAGTAATTTATTAGCACAGAACCCTGCAGCAGGAAAACAGCTGCTCTGACCAGTCCTCAGGAGCAAAGGCACTGCCTCCAGGTGCCCCACAGGTTCTCACGGCTGCAGAGTGTGGCACTGGGTCTGAGGGGCGGGCAGAACCCGACACTTCTTCAAACACTGCAGCCCAGAGCTGTCTCCAAGGCACACCCCCCCCCACAGGAGCCTGACCAAAGCACCTGTCCCCACTCCCCTGGTCGGCGGGAGAAGAGCAGACCAGGCAGGCATTCAGCAAATAGTCTTTATTGGGCTCACACCAGGAGTCCATTGGTCTTGAGGACCTCTGTGAACTTGCTGATTTTCTTCTCCACGTTCTTTTCTGCCTGTTTCCGCAGCCTCTGTGGGGTAAACAGACAAGTGGGGGGTCAAGTGGCTGCTTCTCTCCCAGGACTGTACCCTCTCACACCCTGGGTACACAGGTCCTGTCCTCACCAAGAGCTGCTTCTTCTTCCGGTAGTGGATCTTGGCCTTCTCCTTCCGTTTCTCCTCCAGAGTGGCTGTTACTGCCTGGTACTTCCACCCGACCTCATGAGCCAGCCGTCCCAGGTAAGCAAACTGCAGGGGCACAAGGCTGTAAGGACATGGAAGGTGCCCCAGCAGCACAAGGGTGAGCTAGAGGACCCTAGAGAGTCTACGAAAGGACACACCCCACACCGGACCCCTCCTGGCATCAGCTGAGCCCGTGGCATTATCGGCACTGCCCACCAGCGGCATCCGAAGACCATCGTGAGAAAGAAAACCATCATCTGCCAGGCTTGAGGTCCCACCCGGTCCACACTCTGCAAACGGAGCTTACCTTCCTGGTAGGCTTCAGCCGCACGACCTTGAGGGCGGCAGGGACGACCATCCGTTTTTTCTGTTAGAGAATGAGAAGGACTCAGAGACCTGCTGTGAACGGCACCTGGGAAGGAGGCTGCTGGGGCAGGCGTCTCAGCCAGTGGAGTTTTCATGAGGCTCAAACAATGTAGGTAATAGCAGAACATCACAGACGCTGGATGCAGAGGCTGTGTGTGAAGCTAGGCCTGCACAGCTCACCTTGTCATAGGGTGGAGGGATCCCATCCAACACCTTGAGGCGTTCCAGGGCAGCCTGGCCTCGCTTGGTCTTGTGGGGCAGCATGCCTGTGGGAAGAATAGCAGGTCTCCTCATTAGGGGGGCTAAAAATTCCCCTCTTAGCCCAGAGCAGGGGACCAGCCAGCCTCAGATGGTAGTGCATGTGGAGTCATCTCATGGTTGGGAAACTCGAACATGAGTGGGAGCTGTCCTCATCACAGGCTGACAGAGTCTCCCACCTCCCCACATCACCCACCGGCCCAGCTCACCTCGCACAGTGCGCCAAAAAATGCGGCTCGGGGCTCGGAAGTGGTAGGGGCCTCGAGAGGGGTTGGTGTTCATCCGCTTTCGGAGAAATGCCAGGTACTTCACTGTCGAGAGAAAAGTGGATCAGGCCTCCTCAGGCCCAGAAACCGCACCGAAGGACCCGTTTGTCCCGGGATCCAGTCAGTGCCCCACCTGGAGACCATCCCCAGGCCCTGACTCACACTTGTTTCTGTAGAAATTTCCAGAAATGTTGATGCCCTCACAGCGCACAACCACCACCTTCCGGCCTGGAGAGAACATGGGTTGTGAGTTAGGCGAGTCACACCTAACCCCTAGCAAAGCCACACCGCCCGGATAGACAGCCAACTGCTCTGAAGGACTTCTGTCCTAGGAGTCCAGAGCAAGGGGCTGGCAAGTCTCAGAGCGGTGCATGGGTTGATCTCACAGTCGTGAGACTCAAACGAAAGATGGTGATTATTGCTCATCATTGACTCCCAGACAACAGGGAAATCCTGAATGAAACTTACCCAGCAGTACCTGCTTGGCCACAATGGCCGCCAGGCGGCCCAGAAGATGGCCTCGGCCATCCAGCACTAGAACCTGTGGGAGACAAAAAGGTTTAGGAAGCAATCTGGCTCTCCCAACCCCAAGTCACCAAACAGTCGAGTGTTTTTTCCCCACAGGATGCCTATCAACCGGATTAAAAGTGCCCCAAAGGGACACAACAAACCAAGAGAGCCTAGGGGTGGTCCAGCAGAGGTAAGCGAGAAGACTTCGGGTGCCTGCAGTATTTCGGCATTCCACTTTTTGAGGCCTTGAAATTTTCTTAACAGACATTCACCATGTCACCTACCAAGCCTCATATTGCTGGATAGGAGGAATGTACTGGCTCACGTGTGAACACCCTGACCACAACAAAATTCTATACTAAGCTAAGACTTAATACGTTTAAATAATGGCTCTTCTGTCTAGTTTATAATTCTGGAAAGCAGTGAACAGTCTTCAACTCTCAGACAGGGTGGCTGACATGTGCCTGTAAACCAGCCAAACTACGGGATAGTCACACAGAAACGCACCCCACAACTATCCTCCCTGTTCTACTATTCATGGAGATGAGTTTGTTATGTCCCTCGAGAGCCTCCAGGTATTTCCAAGAGCAAAGATGTCCCAGGCAGCATCCTTTACTAGACCTCGCCAGCAGCGACCTTCCGTTAGAACCTCTGGAGTACAGGAAGGTGCAATTCCATTCCTGACCAGCCCCAAAGTCGCGGGGCTCTGCCGCGCTCACTCTACAGAACAGATCATTTTACACCTCCGTCTCACGGATTCACCCCTTCCCGCTGGAGAACTTTGTTAACAGGACTACTTGTTATAGTGCCAGAGCGACAGGAAAGCGGCACCCGTAAGTCGTGGGAACAGGGGCCTCCATTTCAGCTTCCCATCCCTAGAACCACAGGAACGAGCAAACCCGGCCACGAGCGACCCCAGGCTTCTTCCCGCACCCCAACTGCCTGGGATGAGACCTGTGCAAGTTCCTCCCAGGTGCTGGGAACCAAGCTCCACTCCCGTCCAGTTCCGGCCCCGGGAAGAAGGTCGCATCCCCGTCGCCCATACCTAAGGACGTCCGCGGCACGCTGTGCCCGCCTCACTCCCTTCCGCCAAAGCGTGCGTCTCTACTTTCCTTAACTGCCGTCCTTAGGTCCCAGCGCACTCGCAGAGTGGAGCGGACGCCCCACTCGGCTCCCGCCTGGCACCCACCCGACCCCCGACCGCCCGGCGCGCGCAGAGCCCAACCTGCCCCTCCGCCATCTTCGGCAGCCGCCCGGGAAAGGAGGAGGTCTTGGCGCAGGGTTTCTTATCCCTTGCTGCAGGGGCGGAGGAAGTGACGCGGGCTGGGCCGAACAGAAGGGATTCTGTCTTCTCATTGGCCGAAGCCGTCTGCGTGCGCACACGGGAAGGTGGGCCATCTTCATATTGTCCAATCAAGGTATCGCTCGAGCGAGGCCATGCCGGGGCGGGGCGGGAGGTCACGTGGGTCCCGAGGCGGCTTCAGCAGGACGCGGCCGTCCATCCCCGGCGGCCATGTCTTGGAGGGAGCGCGCCTCTCCATTGATCGCCGCTGTGCCGAGCGCCATTCCTCCGTGGTGACGGCTGCAGAGCACGTGGTGGCCATGAGGGGGCGAGCATGAGCCCGGGCCCGCTCGCCCGTGTGTGCGTTCCCTCCCTTCGGCCTCATGGTGTGCCAGGCAGCTGCTGGCCTTTCCGAGTCTCTGCATCTCAACAGGTGGAGGCATTGTCCCAGACGGGCGAGGGGGGAGGGAGGCCTTCCAGGACGGGCACACCCACCCGCCGTGTGTCCAGAGGCCTTTGCATCAGCTGTGCGTGTTAGGGGTACCCGCCTCCCCCCGGAAACAAACGCGCCAGACGAGTCACCTGGGCAGTCTCCGTGAGCAACTCTAGAGAACCTCTCCAAACCCCCCAGCCTGAGTCCATGCCTCCTGGAAGCTCCAACACTTTGCGGCCGTGGCCTTGGGGAATTTGGGCCGCTCCTGCCTCCCATTAGGGCTCCAGGGAGCATTCGTTACTCAGTGCTGATTCTGGGCCATTGGAGGCCTCGGAAAACGAACAGCACCTTTTGTCGCTGGTTTTGGCTTTTGACATAGGACTTCTGCAATCCAGGGTGGCCTTAAAACTTGAGGTCCTGCCTCAGCTTCTGGAGAGCAGGGCTTACATCACCAAGCACTGCAAAACCAAGATCCTGAAACCTAAAACAGCCCACCCACCCGCTCCCTGTCCCGTCCACAGATAGGTCCGGAAGAGCTGGTAAAAACCATTTATATCCAAGTTCATGGGGGCAAAGACTTCGTACAGAGTGGGGTGAGTAGGGCTTTTGCTGGTTTCCGATGTTGACTTCGTCCTCTGGAGAGAGCTGGAGGGGCAGCGAGGTCCAACAGGGGGCCAGCCTCCACCCAACTTTCCCCGTGTCCAGGCTGTGCAACGTCTGCCACGTGACTCCTGCTTGGCCTCAGTCTCCTCTGTAAAACTGGATCATCAATGGTCTGTCCGTCGACAGCACTCTACCGCTGAGCCACGCCCCCATCCCTTTTCAGCAAGGCCTGTTACCCCTGAGCTACACCCTCCCCTCCTCATCCGTCCCTCCCCAACTCCACTCCGGTTAGGTTAGCCTGGAATTTCTATGTACCAGAATAACCCAGAATCCTGACCCTTCTGCCTCTTCTCCAGGGTGCAGAGACCTTGCACCACAAAATCTGCTCCCAGTTTTTTCCTTTGTTTGTTTTTGTTTTTTGTTTTTCCAAAGGGAGTCTTACAGCCAGGCATGGTGACACACACCTTTAATCCTATCATTGAGGAGGGAGAGGCAGGTGATCTCTTGAGTTTCAAGCCAGCCTGGTCTACACAGCAAGTTCCAAGTCAGATAGGGCTACATGAGACCCTGTTTCAAAACAAACAGGCAAACAAACAAAACAAATCATGGCCCTCAAACTGGCTTAATGGATAAAAGGCCTCTGCCACCAAGCCTGAAAACCTGAGTCCATCCCTGGGACCCTCCTGGAAGAAGGAGAGGACCAGCTCCTGCAAGTGTCCCCGACTGGTACACAGGCACCATGCCACAGTTATGCCCCCCATGCGTAATTATTTTTCAAGTTTAATAACTTTGGGGAGGGTCGAATTAATTTTCTTAAAAAGGGGAATTGCCATCTTGTATGATAGTGATCCCAGCACTCCAAAGGTAGAGATGGATTACCCACGAGTTCAGGCCATCTGAGCTACATAGAGACCATCTCAGAAAACAATAAGATAGAGTTGGGATTACAGACCAGTGCCACTATGTCTGATAAATGGTGGGTTTCAGAAACACGCCGAGGAGTGGGAAACCACAACACTTAGAGGTTGTCCCGTGTTCCAGTGGCCGTGACAGCAGCAGAGGACCCAGAGCCTTCCTGTGCGGGGCCTGCCACTGATCTCCACCCCAGCATCCCCATTTGTCACTGTCATTTTGAGCCAGATCTCACTCAGGTGCCCAGGCTGGCCTGGAAGCTTCCATCCCTCTGCCTCAGCCTCTTGCTAGGGTTGCAGGCACGCAGCACCATACCCATACCCAGCTCTTTATTTTAAGGAGCTGGGATGACAGAAGCCACCACACAGGGCTACAGTGTTCCTCTCTCTTTCTTTTTCTTCCTTTTTGTTTAAAGTCAGTATCCTCCAGCTTCAGCGTTTCCAGTTCAGAAGTACTGGACTGCCGATGTCCATCACCATGCCTGGACATTGTGTCCTCTGGGCAGGGCATGTAGCTCAGTAGTAGTACAGTATTTGCCTAGCTTGTTCCTTGTTTTGGTTCCCAACTCTAGCACCGAGAAAACAAAGAAAAAAGAAAAAGAAAAGCCTTGTTGTATATAACATGCCTACAGGCCCAACTATTGGGAAGGCTGGGACAGGAAGATTCATCAAGGTGTTCAAAGTCAGTTTGAGCAACATAGTGAGACCTCATCTGCAAAAAAATAAGTGTCGCCGGGGGTGGGGGTGGTGGTGGTGGTGGTGGTGGTGGTGGTGGTGGTGGTGGTGGTGCACGCCTTTAATCCCTCTGCCTCAGGGAGGCAGAGGCAGGCAGATCTCTGTGAGTTCAAGGCCATCCTGGTCTCCAAAGCGAGTTCCAGGAAAGGCGCAAAACTACACAGAGAAGAAACCCTGTCTCGAAAAACCAAAAAAAAAAAGTGTCACTGAATTGCGTTTTTTTGTTTGTTTATTTGAGACAGGAGACAAGGGTTCACTGTGTATCTCACAATGGCCTTGAACTCACCTTGTAGCCCAGGGTGGCCAGACCTTGCAGCAGCTGCCCTGCTCTGGCCTCTCAAGTGCTGGGACTACAGGTATAACCTCCAGGAGAGGCATGAGTGTAAAGCACACAGTGAACTCGAAAATATGGGTACTTGTGGGGGAACCTGCCTTCTTGCCTTCTTCCCACACCAGGCTCCTTCCCACAGTCCTCCACGGCTCTCTGCCACCTTGTGATGGCAGCAGCTTGAGAAGCCCCTGAGCTTTGCCACACTGGAAGCTTATCAAAGGCTGCTCTTCCCCCAGACACACACAACTCCCCTGAACCCCTGCCCCTCCAATGAGACATAGTGAGACCCTCCCCACCCCCGAATCTTGGACTGACTCTCTGCCCCCAAGCCTGGCCATTCCATGCTCCAGTGTAAGTGGAAGACTCACCGAGACAAGCCCCTGGCTGAGCCAACGCCGCCCAAGTGTCATATCCTAGGGATGGGAGGTGAGGGGCACCTGAGGCCCCCACAGGGTCAGCCACCTGCCACCCTCATCCCTTGCCACCCCCTCCCTCCAACTGCCCTGACTCCGGGCTCACCCCGGGGCGGAGCGCCGTCCTCCTCCGTGCCCTTTGCCAGCGAAGGCCCCAGGCAGCGGCCAGGAGCACAAGCGTGAGAGGCAGCAGCAGCAGCAGTAGCAAGAGCTGGCTGGACGGAGGCTCTGGAAGCTCGGTCCCTTCTAGGGCGACAGGACTCCTGGGGGGCAGCAGGGTAGACGAGTCTGGGGAGAGAGCAGAACCAGGTCACCGAGGGACTGGCCAGAGCAGACACTGGAATTCCTGGAGGACCATGGGTAACAGTGCATGAGGGGCCTACAAACAACCGAAAACCTGGGGCAGGGGAGATAGGCCAGGCGGCATCGCTTTAACCAGCATTCTAGAGACAAAAGCAGGCGGATCTCTGTGAATTTGAGGCTAGCCTGGTCTACATAGTGAGCTTCAGGCCAGACAGGGATGTTTATAGTGAAACACTTTCAAAAATAAACCAATTTGGGGCTGGAGAGATGGCTCAGTGGTTAAGAGCACTGGCTGCTCTTCCAGATGACCCAGATTCAAATCCTGACACCCACATGGTGGCTCACAAGTGTAGCTCTGATTCCAGGAGCTACAAATCCAATAGTCTCTTCTGCACGCACACAACCTAAATAAATAAATAAATAAAATTTTAAAAGTATGAGCCTGGCTGAGTATGATGGCCCATACTTTTTTTTTGTTTGAGACAGGGTTTCTTTGTGTAGCCCTGGCTGTCCTGGAACTCATTCTGTAGACCAGGCTGCCCTCACGTTTAATCCCACCACTCAGGAGACGGAGGCATGAGGATCTCAGCCTTATCTACATAAAAAGTTACAGGCAGCCAGGACTATATAGAGAGACCCTGTCTCAAAATTAAACGAAACAAACAAAAACTAAGAAAAAATCATTGTTACTCAGAAACCTGTGGCTCAGTCAGTTTCCCTTCTTAGTGGACAGGACTGCCCTAGACAACCAGACTGGAAGTTCTGTCTTCTCAAAGACAGGTAAACTGAGGTCATAAAGAGGCATGTCTGATGGTAACATCTATTGCAGTTAATGGCTGTTAGGAAGAGACATTTTCTTCAGGAGTGTAGCCACTGGTGAGGTGCCCCGTAAACAACTTCTCAGACATGGTTCCTGTAGTCAACCGAGTCTAACTAGTCGGGACTAGTTAGAAAGAGGAAGGGGATCCGTGAGACAGGGAGACACGTATGAAAATGTCATGAGACACATCATTATATGTAGTTAATATGTGTAAAAAATATGAAAAAAATCTTATGAAGCCAGATGTGGTGGCTTCACACTTGCAATCAGGACAGGCAGGAGGATTGCTCTGAGTTCAAGGCCAGCCTAGCCTACATAGTATGGAAATGTCATGAGCCACATCATTTGTTTAACTAAGTAAAGATGTGTTGTATTTGTTTGTGTTGCAGAATAATTGTGTAACTAAGTAAAGATGTGTTGCTGTTTCACCTTGCCTGCCTAAGGCACCTGATTGGTCTAATAAAAAGCTGAATGACCAGCCAGGCAGTGGTGGCGCACACCTTTAGTCCCAGCACTTGGGAGGCAGAGGCAGGCAGATCTCTGAGAATTCGAGGCCAGCCTGGGCTACAGAGTGAGTTCCAGGACAGTCAGGGCTACACATGAAACCCTGTCTGAAAAAACCAAAAAGAAAAAAGAAAAAAAACGCCTGAATGACCAATAGCGAGGCAGAGGAGGGATAGGTGGGGCTGGCAGACGAGTCAGAGAGCTAGCCAGGGTCCAGCCAGCCAGACACGGAGGAAGCAGGAAAGCAGGATGAACAGTACGTAGACGAGGTAAACAAGCCTCAGAGCAGCACATAGGTTAATAGAAATGGGTTAGTTTAAGTTAGAAAAAAAAAAAAAGCTAGCCAGAAACAAGCCTAAGCTAAGACTGGGAATTCATAATTAATAATAAGTCTCTGTGTGTCTTTATTTGGGAGCTGATTGGTGGCCTAAAGAGAAAGCCTGCTACAATTATTATATAAAATTAATATGTGATAACACGGAAAAGAAAAAGTTCTGAAGCCAGATGTGGTGGCTTCACACTTGTAATCAGGACAGGCAGGAGGATTGCTCTGAGTTCAAGGCCAGTCTGGCCTAAATAATGAGACCCTATCTCAAAAGAAGAGAAAATGGGCTGGAGAGAGGGCCCAGCAGTGAAGAGCACTGGCTGTCCTTGGTTTGGACCTGGGTTCGGTTCCCAGCATCCACAGAGCGGTTCACAACATCTGTAACTCCAGTTCCAGGGGGATCTGATGCCCTCTTCTGGTCTCTTTCAGCACCAGACACAGTATGTAGGTAAAAACACTCATACACATAAAAATAAATAGATCTTGAAGAAGAAGAAGAAGAAGGAGGAGGAGGAGGAGGAGGAGAAGAAGAAGAAGCAGCAGCCGGGCGGTGGTGGTGCAAGCCTTTGATCTCAGCATCTCAGCACTTGGGAGGCAGAGGCAGGTGGATCTCTGTGAGTTCCAGGCCAACGAGATCCAGGACAGGCACCAAAACTACACAGGGAAACCCTGTCTCGAAAAAAGAAAAGAAAAAAGAAAGGAGAAAGAACTTGTCTCAAGTCTCAGCTTGTGGAAGCAGAAGCCTCTAGGATACACAGTAAGCAGGACCAGGCTGGTGGTACTGTGGTGCTGGGCTCTGGTGAGCCGGGTGGTACTGGGGTGCTGGGCTCTGGTGAGCTGGGGTGCTGGGCTCCGGTGGTGCTGTTACCTGGCTGACATTGCACCTCCAGGCACCGAGAGAAATTCTGGCAGGCCTTCCCCATACAGGGTTTCAGAATCAACAGCTGGGAGCAGGTGTCCTGCAGGAGGTGGGAGATGTTGGTCTGGACGAAGCGAAGACATTCTGGGAGAGGCTGGGAGGAGGGAGGGATAGGTCATCACCATGTCATACCAGAGTCTCCACCAACCCAGGGCCCTGACCTGAGGTCAGAGCCAGTGGGCCCAGGTCCCAAAGATGTCAGGGTTCCACGGTTGTTAGGGGAGAGAACCCCTTTGTAATGGCCTTCTTCACCTACTGAGGCACAGACCCAGTAACAGGATCCCCAGGTGACCTTAGGGCTTGGAGGTTCCAGCTCTACCTCGTGGTATGCTGTCGGCAAAAGAACCCACCCCCCCACCCCCACCCCCACCAGCCCTAGCAGAGCCCTGTCTACTTGAAGGCCTGGGGAGGGACTTGGCTCCTTCGCTTTGTGTCCAGGTCCCAGTGCTAACCTGGAAGGCGCATGACCTGACGAAGTGTATCTCGGTGTTGACAGCCTCCAGGAGCCCCTGCATTTCCGCCCCTGCCACGGTCTTCAACTGCTCCATCCAGCGCTGGGCCAGGAAGAGGCTCCACAGAGCCTTGCAGTATTTCTCCTGCAGACCAAGAGGCCAGTTCAAGCCACAGGGCTGGGGTGCAGGGGTGCGTGTCGGGGGTGCTACCTTATGACTAACGGGATGGGCAGAGCCAGGGGTTGAGGGAGGGTGGGCGGGTGATGGCTGAGCGGGGGCGGGGCTAGGTGTCCGAAGAGGGTGGGCGTGGTCAGATGCCTAAGGTAGGTTGGGCGGGGCCAGGGGCCTGAGAGAGGTGGGACTTCGCTAGAGACGAAGGGGTGAGAACGGGGTGAGAACGGTGGGCCTGCCCATCGTGGGAAGTGGCAGGGGTACAGGTCTGAGACCCCTGACGGGAGGGAGGCGGGCCAGACTTGTGAAAGGTGGAGCGAGGGTCTGGGAGCGGGGCGGGCCAGCTCTAGATCCCCGGGTCCGAGGGGCGGGCAGGCGGTCCACTAGCCTTGTCCCCGAAGGGCGGCACATCTGAGTCTGGTTCCCACCTCCACCCCAGGGCCCTCCCGACTGTGACTCACGTCCTGAAGGTTGATGGCCACCGTGACGGGGTAATCTTTAAGCAGGTAGTCAGTCTGTGGGAGAAACCAAGGTCGGAGGAGTTGGGAACTGACCCCGAGAGAAGGGGACATGGACACCGAGAAAGGAGGACAGGGCCCGTATAGAGAAGAAGGGACAAGAGACAGCAGGAAAAAGACCCACAGAGAGGGAGAGACAGAGAGAGACAGAGAGGAACATGGACCCAGAAAAGGAGACCTGCAGAGAAACAGAGACAGACATAGAACAGGGACTCAGAGAGAGAGAGAGACAGTGACAGAGACCCAGAGAGAGAGAGACAATGACAGACCAGAGAGTGAGATCCAAAGAGAGACAGTAGAGACCCAGAGAGAGAGATCCAAAGAGAGACAGTAGAGACCCAGAGAGAGAGAGACAGTGACAGAGACTCAGAGAGAGAGATCCAAAGAGAGACAGTAGAGACCCAGAGAGAGAGACAGTGACAGAGACCCAGAGAGAGATCCAAAGAGAGACAGTAGAGACCCAGAGAGAGAGACAGTGACAGAGAGACCCAGGAACGAGACCCCACAGAGATAGAGACACAGAGACGGGCAGAGGGGTGGGGTAGGGACCCAGCGCGGTGGCCTGGCCTGGGTTGAGCCGGCTCACCAGCTTCTTGATCCTCAGGTTGAAGTTGGAGGAGATAGGATTGTGGCTGAAGTAGCAGTCAGGCGTCCCCCGCAGGCAAGGGCTCAGCAGCAGCAGCAGCAGCAGCAGGGACGACTACAGGGAGGCGATGCCGGCGTGACTCCATGCCGGGACTGACTCCCTGCATCCATCCCGCTCCCTTCCCTAACTGGGCGTCTGTCACCTTCCCCGTCTCTGCCTGTCCCGCACCTTGGCCGCTGTGACAAGCCTGAGTCCGCATTTCTCCATCTCCTGGTCCTCTTTCTTCTGACCGTCCCGGGTCTCTCTCCATGCCTCCGTCCCTTACCCAGCTCCCTTCTCCGCCCTGCTCCATCATCCCTCAGGTATACGCACATTTGGGCTCCAGGCTGGCACCAGCACTGTCATCTCGGCCGGAGACCCCTCATGCCTGTGGCAGGGTCTGGGAAGGGACAGAAGGGCAGGCCTCGCACCCTGCAGCCCTTGCTCTGCTCGCCCCTGTACCCCTCCGCCCGGTCCTGCCTGCGCCCTTGATGTGGGCACGTTTCCGCCTCCTGCTCCCTCGGGCTTCCTGCATGAGCCCCAGTTACAGTGAAAAGTCATCTTCCCTTCTAAGAAACCCGTGCCCAGAATCCTCCCCAGGCCCCCACCCTGCTCCCTCGGGCCCGGAGTGGGGACCCTGGGACCGCCCCTCGGGGACCTGGAAAGCCATCCACCCCACGCACCAGGCTTGCCCCAGCTGGGTGTGGAAAGACCAGGCTGGGTGACAGCCAAAGACCGAAAGTGAAAGGAAACTTTGGGGTAGACTGTGCCAGGGGTGTGTTCGTGCCCGGGCGGGACGCGCCACCTAGTGGTGACAAGTGACGCGGCCACCGGCCTCAGGACAGCACACCCACAGCGACAGGGTGAGCTAGGTGAGGTTGCAACCAGGCCTTCCAGCTTCGAAATGGATGTAGAATCCGACCAGTGCCCATCACATCAGCTGCCACCGGACTGGCCTTGCCTCCACCATCTCCCACGAAGACTGCCACCGTGGCCTCCCTTCTGAGTTCCCTGCTTCCTAGCCCCCAACTGCTCCCAGGGGACAGAATTTGTGAACCTGTCAGCTGAGCCCCTCCAGTCTCTGGGTTCCCGATTCTTTCAAGATAAAAAAAAAAAAAAAAAAAAAAAAAGTCCAGTCTTCAGCGGGGGCGGTGATAGTGCAGACCGGTCATATCAGCTACCAAGGAGCCTGAGGCAGGAGGACGGAAGATTGGAGGCTGGCCAGGGCAATTTACTAAGACCCTGTCTCAGTAAAAAGAGGAACAGATTGACAGCTCGGTTGGAGAGCAGCTGCCTGGAGTGGCCAGTGAGCGGCAGAGTACTTGCCTGGCCTGCTGCGGGCCCTTGACTCGATCCATAGTCCCTGCTTCACCCCTCCAAAGAGGTGGCCCAGAGTCTGCAGAGTTCGGCCCTGTGCTAGCCGGCCCTCCCCCTGCCCTCCCCATGCTAAGCTCCTTTCCAGCGCTAGCCATCCTTGGCGTGTCTGAGGTGGGTCTGCTCTTTTTTTCCTTTTTTGGTTTTTCGAGACAGAGTTTCTCTGTGTAGCTCTGGCTGTCCTGGAACTCGCTCTGTAGCCCAGGCTGGCCTCGAACTCACAGAGATCCGCCTGCCTCCGCCTCCCGAGCGCTGGGACTAAAGGTGTGCGCCGCCACCGCCACCGCCCGGCTGAGGTGGGTATACTCTTAGCCCAAGGCCCTGGCACTGGCTGTTTCCTCAGCGTGTGGAATGCCCTTCCCTCCAGGTACCTCTGTCGTCCCCATCTCATCGAAGTCTTAAACGCACAAGGCAGAGGCTTCATGACGCCCTGGCAGCAGTGGTCTCACCCTGCTCTGTTCTTATCGCCACTGAACACATCCTGTGGTTGACTCATCTTCCCCATTGTCTTGGCCTCTTCGGTGGCTGTTTCCACCCTGCAAAGCCCTTGCACTGAGAACTGTACCTGTCTGGGCGCAGCATCAACCGCACGGGAGTTCATTGGATGAGTGGCCGGCAGGCCCTGACTCTTCCTAGTCCACCACTGCTGTGCAGAACATGTGTCTGCGCTGGGTTTGATGCCTGGGAGATAAGCCTGGGATTTTCCAAGTATGGGGAGGGAGTGCCATTGTTTGTCAGGGCTGGCACCTGGACCGCACCTGAGTTCCCACTGAGGCCATTCAGAAAGGAGCAGGCTGTGCCTGAGAGACTGAGAATGAAGACTATGGTATGTTGGAGCTAGTAGAGCTAGGTGTTCAAGGTTAGCCTTGGCTACATAAGATCCTGTCTCAACCGGGCGGTGAGTTTTAGTCCCAGCACTCGGGAGGCAGAGGCAGGCGGATCTCTGTGAGTTCGAGGCCAGCCTGGGCTACAGAGCGAGTTCCAGGACAGCCAGAGCTACATAGAGAAACCCTGTCTCGAAAAACAAAAACAAACAAACAAAAAAGACGCTGTCTCAAGTAGGCAGGGCATGATGATGGCACCATGTTTAATCCCAACACCCAGGAGAGGCAGAGGCAGACAGATCTCTGTGAGTTCAAGGACAGTCTAGCCAATATAGCAAGCTGTAGACCAGCCTGGACTACACAGTAAGATCCTGTCTCAAGAACCTAAGACAAAACAAAAGAAAACCCAACCAGCCAATCAACCAACCAACCAAAACCAAGGCTGGCTGGCAGGATGACTCAACAGGTAAAGGTGCCAACCTTGAAGCCAGATATTAAGTCTCTGGACCTACAAGAAGGGAGAGCCCACTTTCAAAAAACTGCTTTGACCTTCATGTGCAAACCACAGCACATGCACACACATACAACATAAATAAAACCTGAAAGGAAAAAGGCTAAGGGTGCTGTGGTGGCAGCTTGAGTGATAAGTCACCCACCTACTGGAAGGTTCAGGGACTCTGTCTGCCTACCTACCAGAGCCACAGTGTGAATTCTGAACAGTAAAAAAGTCTTCTTTTGTGTTTCAGCCTACCTTGGGCTACATGAGACCCTGTCTCAAAAAGCCAGATGATGGACCGGGGGTGTAAGTGGCGCACGCCTTTAATCCCAGCACTTGGGATGCAGAGGCAGGTGGATCTCTGTGAGTTTGAGGCCAGCCTGGTCTACAGAGCGAGATCCAGGACAGCCAGGGCTACACAGAGAAACCCTGTCTCAGATGAAAAATGTTGAAATGATGCGGTCTCAACCTCCAGGACCCCCAGTCTTTCCAGCAAAAGCCCCCGACCTAGACCACAGTCCGAGGGATGATGTGGGGCCTCTGCTGCCCTTTCTCACCGTCCTTTGTTGGGACGACTCTTGTGTTAGCTTCCTGCTGATGTAACAAGAGATTACAAGTTGAGTGGCTGGAAACCACAGTATATGCCCTGCCAGGCCGTGGTGGCGCACGCCTTTAACCCCAGCCAGTGAAGCTCTGAGCTTGAAGCCAGCCTGGACTACAAAAGGACATCCAGGATGGCCAGGGCTATACAGAGAAACCCTGTGCGTGCGTGCGTGCGTGGGTGCGTGCGTGCGTGCGTGCGTGCGTGTGTGTGTGTGTGTGTGTGTGTGTGTGTGTGCGCGTGTGAGTGTGTGTGTGTAGGGGGAGTTTATCCCCATTAGGTCTAAAGGCAGGAAGTCCTGCTGCCCCCTCTGCAGGACCAGGGGAGAAGGCCTGTAGTACTGCAGCTCCTCTGACCTCTCCTCTCCTCACCCCTCTGCACATGCCTCTGCAGCGTCTTCTCTGAGTCACAGGTTGCTTGTTCTTGGACTTAGGGTCAATTTAGATAATGTATGGTGACCCCATCTCTAGATCCTGGGGCTGCAGCTAGTCCATTGCTAGGTTAGCGTGCGTGAAGCCCCGGATCCCTTTTCCTGCACGGCAGAAGCAGGCTAGGCAGTGCACCCACCCCTCTACTCCCAGCAAAATCCTTTCACTGAGACTGAAGCCAGCCCGGGTCTACCCAAGCAATCGTCCCCAGCCTCCAGCTGCAACCTGCCATGTGCGCCCGCCGCTCTGTGCTCTGCAGCCCCTACCGCCGCTGCAGTGTCCGCTGGGTGGGCAGGTCACGGCCAGCTTCTTAAGCACGGTCGTTCCTAGAGCACCAGAGCCGCCTCGTGTGGCAGCACTTCAGGGGATTTGTCACTACCAGTCTGACAGGCGTCAGGCTAGTGCCACTCTGCCACTGTGAGGGCTTGGCCAGCCCTCGTCCTCTGTGAGCTGAAGTTTTTCCTCTACTCTAGACTGGACAAAAACCCAAGGTGTCTTCTTTGTGTAGCTCAGGGGTTGAGCCCAGGACTTCCCACGCCCCTGGCAGGCACTCTACTGTTGAACCGTGTCCTAGCCCCTTCCTGGGGGATTCTAGGCAGGGGCTCTGCTGCTGACCCACACCTCCAGCCCTGGGTAGTTCTGTCTCTTCTTGGTCCACCTACCCGAAGTAGATGGTCTACAAATCCCTAGTCCGTCCCCAGCCTTTCCCTCTGGGAACCCTGGCACGCTTGTATGTCTTGCTTTGGCCAATGACTTGAGAGAGGAAAGCAAAGGTTCCTCCTGGGTGAACCCGACAGGCTTGGGAATGGATGTGGGGGAAGTCAGCTTATGTTGTGACTGTCTCCTTAATTTCTTCACGTGTTGGAAACTTAACCCCCACATTCACATTGTTGGTATCTCCAGCTGGGGCTTTAATGGAGCAATACCTAGGGCCTGGTATTTCAGCACTTGAAGGCTGGGGCAGGCAGATCACAGTAAGTTCTGGAACAGCTTGGTCTACACAGTGAGTCCCAGGTCAGCCAGGGTTAGTCAAACTCTCTTCTTGAGAGCCTGATTAGTATACTATGTCGCCCTGGCCCCGAAGATCATAGACAAGGCAGCCCTCAGATCAAGGAGACCCTCCTGCCCTGCCTCTGGGATTAAAGGTGTGTGCTACCACCCCAGCAAGACTGTCTCAAAAAACCTTAAAACATGGGACTGGAAGATGACTCAAGGCTAAAAGCACACACTGCTGCATAGGACCCGACTTGAGTTCCTAACACCCAACGCGAGAGAATTGGGTCTGTCTGTGCCCATACCCACTTACAGAATAAAAATAAAGAGCATACTGTGCTGGCCGGTTTTTGTGTTGCTTCATGACAGGGTTTCTCTGTGTATCCCTCGCTGTCCTTGAACTCACTCTGTAGACCAGGCTGTTCTCAAACTCACAGAGATCCCTCTGCCTCTGTAGAGACCCACAGAGGTTTCCCAGAGAGATCTGAGCTTGCTTTACCCAGCAGGGCTGCATAGGGGAATGACTGGACCACGGTGGTATGGTTAGCAGGTGTTTGGAAGGGTCTGCACTTGGCTGTGCAGTATCCTTTGATCTAGCAAGGGCGGGATCTTTTACTCCCCCCCCCCACTGCCCCTTCAAATTTTTTTTGGGGGGGGTTTCGAGACAGGGTTTCTCTGTAGCTTTGGAGTCTGTCCTGGACTAGCTCTGTAGACCAAGCTGGCCTCAAACTCAGAGATCCACCTGCCTCTGCCTCCTGAGTGCTGGATTACAGGAGTGCGCCAACTCCACCACCGCCTGGCTCCCTTCACATTGTTATCAAAAGCCCTTTTGAAGAGACAGAAGGGGCCGGTAGATTTTGATCCAGGTCCTCCCGAAGCTATCCTGTGTTTCTTTCTTCTCTCCAATATCTTTTGTTTTGTTTTGTTTTTATTTTCCCGCAGGGTTTCTCTGTGTAGCTTTGGAGCCTGTCCTGGAACTCACTCTGTAGCTCAGGCTGGCCTCGAACTCAGAGATCCTCCTGCTTCTGCTTCCCCAGTGTTCGCCACCACCAGCCTAGCTTGCTTTTTTTCATGAGATCTGGCTGCAGGCAATCCTGTAGGGCATCTTCTTAATCAGTGACATGGGAAAGCACAGCCCATGGTGAGTGGTGCCAACCCTGGCCTGGTGGTCATGGGCGCTAAGAAAGCAGGCTGAGCAAACCATGAAAAGCACGCCAGTAAGCAGCGCCCCTCCACGGCCCCGCATCAGCTCCTGCCTCCAGGGTCCTGCCGGGTTTGAGTTCCTGCCCTGGCTCCCCTCAGTGAACCATGATCTGGAATGTGTAAACTAAATAAACCCTCCCCCCCCCACGTGCTTTTTGGCATGGGTTACATCACAGCACCAGAGCCCTAATTAAGACATACACAGTAACATATAATCAGGGTTGCTGGGGAGGGCCTTGTCAAGTGCTCTCTAAAAAGCTGTCATGCTACAAGGTACCCTCGATCTGGTTATCATGCCAGGAAGGCCTTGCAGATGCCGACCAGATGGGCCCCTCCCAGCTCCAAAGCCTTGTGTGAAACCTTTATTCTTGGCAAGTGACAGGCTATGATAATCAGTTACAGCCACAGAAAATGGACTAAGGAAAAGTTGAGCCTGATGGCTCACGCCTGTCATCCCACTGGCAGAGGATCAGGAGTTCAAGGTCATCTTTGGTGCCATTGGAAGTTCTGGTCCAACCTGGGATATATGCATACCCTGTCTCAAAACCAAACCAACCAACCAAACAGAACACCACCACCAAACCACAACATACAAGAAAATGGATTAAGACGGCCTCCATCAGCCCAGTTCCCCTGGCAACACTGATGAGCAGAGAGGAGAGAAAGCAAGGAGAGGGTGTTTCCATTCGAAAGGCAGAAGGCAGGACGCACATGTCTGTAACCCGGTACTCAGGCTGAGGCCCGAGGATTGGATGAGCTACACCTTGAGACCCTGACCAGAAAAACAGCCCCACAAACCAAGTCACAAACCTAAAAACCAAACTAAAGCTAAATCCACGGGGCTCCGCTGAGAGCAAGCACATGGTCACAGTTTAGGTTCCAGGACGCCAGGGCCTGCCTGCCTGGCAGCTGTGCCCACGGGACCTGGCCCAGTAGTGGTGGCCCTGGCTCTGGCTGGCACAGGCATATCTCCTTCCCCTTGGTACATGCTGGGTTACAGATCTTCCAGTTCAGAAAGGACTTATGGGAAGGAGGTGGCCCTGTAGCCCACCCAACTCTGGAATCAAGCATAAAGGTGACAGAGCCTTCCAGGGACTTCCCTCTAACTCCTCATGACCCTAGAGTGCTGGGTGGGGCTGAGCTCCCTTTATCCATCCCATAAACACAGTGTTGTTCCAGGACTGCCCACTGGGCCACACATTAAGAAGTCACTGTTCCCGCACTCAAAAGCAGTCAAAGTCACTCAGTTTATTGGAAACCATGGGAAGTCTGAGAGGAAAACTGCAAGCATCTGGTATCTCTGGGCACACAAGATGGAGGCGTCTATCTTCCGGCATCAGTCCCCCATTGGCAACCACAGGGCCTTGGTCCGTGCTGCGTGCAGACTCAGCTCCACTTCTGCCCCTTCGACCTCCTCATCCCAGGCCCTTGGGAAGCCCCTGTTCACCCACACAGACTTGAGGTTTCCTGCAGATGCCCATTCCACAAACTGGGAGCCCTGGGACGGGGAAGCATGTGATTAGCACCGCCAGCAGTTTAGTTACTAAACAGCTGCTTCCTTAGCAACAAGGACTTGTAGAGACCTAATCCCTGACCTAAGGGATTCTGGCCAGCATTCCCTCCAGATGCGGAGGAAGTAGACCCAGGGAATCCCCGTCTTCCCCGGTGCTCATGTTCAAGGTTCTTGCCGGTGGGGACCTGCCATCCACCAACAGGCTAGAGCTTTAGGAGGCTAGAGCTGGAGCTTGGCAAGTTGCTAGGGTGCCATCCTTAGCAACAGGTTTTCCTGTCTTTGGGCAGGGGAGGCAGTTAGGCCCTTATTATGAAGAAGACCCTCTTCCATCAGGCAGTAATGGAGCACAACTTTAATCCCAGCCCTCAGGAGGCAGAGGCAGGAGGATCTCTGAGTTCAAGGTCAGCCTGGTCTACAGAGTGAGTTCCAGGATAGCCAGGGCTTCAGAGCAACCTTGTCTTTTTTTCTTCAGATTTATTTATTATGTATACAGTGTTCTGCCTGCATGCATTCCTGCAGGCCAGAAGAGGGCACCAGATCTCATTACAGGTGGTTGTGAGCCACCATGTGGTTGCTGGGAATTGAACTCAGGACCCTAGAAGAGCTGCCAGTTCCTAAAACCTCTTGAGCCATCTGTCCAGCCTGGGAAGATGTCTTAAATAGGGTGGGCAGCACCTGAGGATAGATGCCCAAGGGTATCTTCTTGATTCACTTATGTGCATGTCCTCTCTCAACATGCATATACACATAAAAAGTAAAGAATAAAATGACATTAGATTGCTAACTTGTTATGTGTGGTGCTCTCCAGAAGCTATCTCCAGAAACAGAGTTATGTCCTACCTCCCATACCAGGTTTATTTGTCTCAAAGTGTCCCCCAAATCCTGTCCAGGAATGGACTGGCCTATAACTGACATGAGGGACGAGAACAGTGAGACAGCGGGAGAGTAGAACAAGATCTAAAAGGCACCTCCTCCAGCAGAGGTTACTGTAGCTTAGTCCTAAAGTAGAGTCCTGTAGTGAGGAATGCAGTCAGCCGTTCATCCATGGCGTGGCGGGAGCACTCTGAATTGGGGCTGCAGACACCTGCCTCAGCCTCCCCAGTGTCCGCTGACTGTTTGCAAGGGCTCAGTTCAATGGGGTTATCTGCCTACTGCTTTTTGTTCTTTTTTTTTTTTTTTTTTTTTTTTTGAGACAGGGTTTATTTGTGTAGCTTTGGAGCTGTCCTGGAACTCACTCTGTAGCCCAGGCTGGCCTCGAACTCACAGAGATCCGCCTGGCTCTGCTTCCCGAGTGCTGGGATTAAAGGCGAATGCCACCACCACCTGGCAAAACCTTGTCTTGAAAAAACAAAAGACCCTCTTCCTTGGTGCCTGGACTTTGACCAGGGCAACCTCAGAAGTTGCTGCTAAGGCATTTATTTCTTCCTTTTAGCAAGAGGATCCCCAGGGGTGAAGCCATCCACCTGTTGGTGAAGGTTAAGACTCTGAATACCTGGGCAGAGCCGAAGTACCACAGGGCCTGGACGTCCTGGTGTAAGGCCAGGCAGCGGGTCAGGTGGTCCCGATCTCCAGTCACCACGCTCACCAGGCCAGCAGGGAACAGGGCGGCTACATCCTAGGACGTGAGAGGGTTGAAGAGCAATGGGGGCAGGGTGAGCAGTGGGCACCTGGAGGGGCTGAGGGGCTCCGAGAAGGAGTAGGACCTGGGTGACAGACTTGGATGGGATGCTGGGGCTCAAGTTACCATGGCTACCAGGAGGGAGGCGGCCAGCTGAGCTCCTGAAGACCAGGAGCACAGCAGGCAGTGAGGGAGGCAGGCAGGGGATTTTACCTGACAGACCTCCAGGGCTGGCAGAGGACAGGCTCCACTGGGTACTAAGATCACAGCGTTGCCGTGGGCCAGGGCAGGGGCCAGCAGAGACACAAAGGCCAACAGAGGCCACTCATCTGGGCACACCACGGCCAGCACTCCGAGGGGCTCCCGAAGCCGGAGCACAGGGCCTCTCATCCCTGTCACCTACAGGGACAGAGGACACGTCAAGGGCAGGTCCCCAGATCCTCTCCATTGCCTGCCCCATCCCCCCACTGACATGCCTCCGGAGCAACTCCAATCAAGTGTGACTAGGGGATGCTGGGAACAAAACCCTGGAGCCCAGTGGCCACTCGCTGGTTGCGTGAATCTGTAGAGTTAACCTCTCTGGGCCTGTGTCCCGCCTGGAATCCGCCATGCTCCGGCCTCAGCGTATGGAGTAGCTGGGTTCGGGGCCTGTGCCATCAGTGTGTTTCGTGGTACTGGAGCGCGCCAGGCATGCTAGGGCTAGGCAAATGTTCTACCACTGACCACACTCCAGTCCTTGTTTGTGTCTGGCTTGTTTTCTGTTTTGCTTTGAGACAGGGTCTCCCTATGTAGACCAGGCTGGCCTTGCACTCAGAGATCTACCTGCCTCTATCTCCTGAGTGCTGGGATTAAAGGCGTGCACTGCCAGGAGGGAGTGGAGAATGCAGACGCAGGTAGATGTCTGAGTTCAAGGCCAGCCTGGCCTACAGGGTGAGTTCCAAGCCAGGCAGAGAAACCCTGTCTAGAAAAACAAAAAACAAAAAACAACAAAAAAAAAAAGTGTGTACCACAACCACACAACTTGATTTATGTATTGCTTATTTATTTAACTATTTATTTTTGAGACAGTTTCTCTGTGTAGCCCTGGCTGTCTTGGAACTTGCCTTGTAGACCAGGCCGGCCTTGAACGGCTTCTGTCTGCCTCTGCCTCCTGAGTGCTGGGACTTACAGCACACTCCACAACACCTGGCTTGTTTTATTTAATTCCGTATCTGTGTGTGTGGAGGGATAGTTATGTGCACTCGTGAGTGCTAGAAGGAGGCATAAGATGCCCTGGAGCTAGGTAAGTCACAGAAGGTTGTGAGCTCTCTGATTTGGGTGCTGAAATCAAACCTATCCCCTGCAAGAACAGGAAGTGTTCTTAACTGTGGCCCCACGGCTTTGTTTTTTCGATAAACGGTTTCACTATGTGGCCAAGGCTGACCTTGAACTTGTGATCTTTCTGCCTCTGTTCTCCAAATGCTGAGATTTTAGGCCTGCACTACCATATGTGTTGACAAAAGCCTTCCTGAATACAATCGAGCCTACATCACACAGATTTTCAACGGCATAACCTGACATCGTGTATACTCACGAACATCCCGGAAATAGTTAGCACTGTAACCCCCTCCTGGCCTGCCCGACCCCCTGGGTTCTCAGCCAAGCACTCGCCTGTCTCTCCTCTCACCAGAGGTTATTTCTGGGACTGAGCCTGGGCTCGGACCGGGCCGCCTGCCTTGTCCACCTGCGTACAGCTGTCTCACCTGTAGTATCTGGCCTCGGTCTTGAACCTGGGTGCTCCAGAGCTGGAGTCGCCTCACACTCAGCTCTACTTCAGTCTTGGCAACCACAGGCGCTGCTCCGTGGCTCTCTAGTTTTGAGGCCAGGGCTGGCTTCCTACGCTCCAATGCAGCGGCCAGGGCCCACAGCAGGCCTGCTCGGGCCCCTGGAGACTGGGCCGCCCAGCTGTGGGCAAACCATGCAAGTCAGTGGAGGGGTATGGCCGGCCCTAGCTGTTCCCAGATAGCCACCTCTATCCATAGCCCCAACCCAGGGGCTCCAGTCCCAAGTTTACCCCGTCCCAGCCACCCTGACCATGTGAGCCTCTTACCCAGGGGCAGCCTGGTGAGCGGCCTCCACAGCACCTCGGATATCCTTGGTTCCACCCTCAGCCACGTAGCTGCACAATTTGCCTGAAGAATCCTGGATGGGCCTGGAGCTCCGGGCCCCAGGAGCCTGGAAACGGCCCGCAATGAACAGCCCATAGGGAGGTGCTGGGCTGCACAGAGTGAGGTGTGAGGAGGGGCCGGGCCACTCAGGCCCTCTGCCCACTACACTGGCTCGACCATCTTAGTTCCCAGGAACCTTTTGGACTCAAATTTTTTCTGAGAGAAAAAAACACCTACTCCCCGGAGCCTCTGGAGGCTTCTGAATTCCTAGCCCATGAGTTCCTGTGGTCATCTGAACTCTTACATAATGGGCCTCTAGGACACTCAAATCCCATTCCTATGTGCATCTAGGAACCCCTGGATTCTTGCTTCTGGAAAATGCAAACACTAAGTAGAACTGAGATTCTCCAGACCTAGGGTTAGGACCATGAGGCCCTAAGACCCAGGAAGCTACACTCAGAACTGGAGATCCCAAGACTGGCTCTGAGTGCCCCCCTCCAGCCTCCTCACCCTTAGACTGCCAGGCCTGCAACAGCTCACCTGGGCCCTGTTTCTGGCCCCGACGGCAGGCTGGAGGGCACAGCAAGGCCAAAGGTGTCATAGTTGAGACTCTCGCAAAGGAAGGGCTCCCATGAAGGTGTCCCCAAGGGCCACAGATACTCATACAGACCCTGTGAGAGACGCATGGTCACAAGGACGCCAGATGAACTCAAAGTGACTCAGGGCCACTAGGTGTCAGGAGATACAGGGGTGAGATGGGCACTCACATCCAGGCCCCCATGCCAGGAAGACCCACTCTCTTTGCAGCCACCTGTGGGTACCGCAGGGTCTCGGAGGCCGTGGGCGTTGATCCACACAGTGCCCATCTTGAGCCTGTGAAGCAGGTAAAGATGAGGGGTGTGTGTGTGTGTGTGTGTGTGTGTGTGTGTGTGTGGTGTGTGTGTGTGTGTGTGTGTGTGTGTGTGTGTGTGTGTGTGCAGCGGGGGACAGGAAGCTGGGTCACAGGAGAGGGAGACCCCGGAGGGAGCTAGGGCAGGAGGAGCGAGTTCCAACTCACCCATAGGCCAGCTCCAGGGCGGGCCCCAGCCTCTCACTCCACACACTGGCGCTGCCTCCCCGCGGCGTCCCATTGGCCAGGGCCAGGGCCTCCTTGGCGGTGCGGAAAGGAGAAGCCACAACCACAGGCCATGGTACCTAGAAGGGGTGTCGGGGGCTTGGCTGGAGAACAAGGCCCTCCTGTCATATTCACCCACAGGGAAGCAGTCACTAGTCTTCCCGGCACCAGGTCACAGGGGCCCCAGAATCACCCCGAGGTGTAGTGCTTTGCCCATGAGTGACTGGGGACGGAGGGCAGGAGCGATGTCTACAGTCAGGGGGCTCACCTCGGCCTGGGCACACGGGGCAGCTGGAGGCAGGCCAGAAACCAGGGTCGGAGAGAAGAATGGGCTGGAGGGCACATCCCCAGCCTGGAATACCTGGGGAGGAGGAGAAGGGAGCTACAGACGACTGTCCCCCCTAGACCTGGCTGTACCTCAGCCCCCTCCCAAACCCCCAGGCTCCAGCTCTCCTCTCTAAACCCAGGTTCCAGGCTCCGGCCTCCTTACTCAGCCTGGGCATCTAGACCCGAGCCCTCCTCCCTCAGACACGGGAGCTCACAGGCCAACTCCCTTCCTCTCTCCACCCAGGCTTGTCCTGGGCTTGTCCCCCCGACTGTGAAACAGCAGTCGGGTAGCCAAGCTCTGAGACTGCACTCTGCGGTTGGGGCTCACCTGTCCACCCTGGCTTTGGGCCTCGTCCACAAAGCGCTGGGCCAGGTCCCGGGCGGCGGCTCCTCGGGCCCCCATGTCCACAGCCCCGTCCAGCCCTGGTCCACTCCGCAGCTTTGCCATCCTGGCCTGCAGTCGCCTCACAGCCTCCTCCCACACAGACTCCTGGATGAGGAGCCTGAGCCCCCCCTGTTGGAAAAAGGGCACCAAAGTAGGCAAGTCTGGGGCAATGGAGGGAGCACAGGCCCCCAGAGGACGGGTCTCCGGGTGGAGGGGCAGCAACAGGCAATAGGTGCAGTCTTGCCCGGCATGGTGGCACATGCGGGTAATCCCGGGAGGATTAGGAGTTCAAGGATAACCTGGGCTACATAGTGAGTTGGAAACCAGCTTGGGCTACATAAGTCCCTGCCTCAAATAATACAAAGCTCCAAAGAACAGAAAGTCAACCCACGTTGGGAACGAACACCCCAGGTGTTGGGAGAGCTGTGGCAGACCCCTGGGCTTCGGGCACCGAGCACACAGGTCTTACCAGGCTGCGGTCTGACCAGATGGCATCTACAACACCCTCCACAGCCGAGTCCACATCTGCTGAGTCCAGCAGCAGCAGCAGTGACTCTGTGCCCAGGGCCAGGCCCAGCTCGGCCCCCCTGCCTGCCAGGCTCCGCCGCAGAGCTCGTCCTTCCTGAGGGAACCCATGGGCTTCATTGTGTGGCAGGCAGGAGCCTCTCGGCCCTTGGCCATGCCCATCCCACCCCCAGCCATGAGGATACCTCCACAGCTCCGCAGAAGGCCACCTTCTGGACGCCAGGTTGGGAGGCCAGGACAGGCCCCAGTGAGGCAGGGCCACACACCACATTGAGGATCCCTGGGAAAGAGCCCAGCTCCCCTGCCAGCTGAGCCAGGAGGAGAGGTGTTGGGAAGGCTGGGGGCACAAGAGCCACCACAGTGCAGCCTGGGGAAGGGGAACAACTAAGGAATCCCGAAGTCCAGTTTCTGGCTCTTTCTTCAGATTCTGAGTTCAGACCCCTACCCTCCCCCTTCAGACCCCAAACATCTTGAGGAAAGGGGTTGGGGGGCCACAGCCCTCACCTACCCATAGCCAGGGCAGGGCAGACCCTCCACATCATGTCCAGGAAAGAGAAAGAAGACGGCAGGATGAGGCCAACAACTCCTGCAAAATAAATCCATAATGAGATAGACGGTGCTTTCCCGGGTCAGGGGGCTCTGGGGCCTGTAGTTCTCACCCATAGGCCCCCAGCCGGCCAGCGCCTTCTCCTGGGCAACTGCCTGGACTGCATGGTACTGGAGCAGTTGCTGGGCCAGTGGGACGTCTCCATCTCGAACTTCTCGAACAGCCCGCCCCGTGACCAGGGACTCCAGGGTCCACAGCAGCTGCTGGTGCTTCTGGATAATCTTGGCCAACCTTTGGAGAAGATAAGGAGTCGGTCCTCGCCCACAGCAACCTGGACTACAATCCCCACAAGCCTCTGGGGCAGAGCCAAAATTTATCAGGGACAGCAGGGACCAAGGCTGTATAGGAAATTAGTCTAGGGAGTCTCAAAACTCTGGGGGTGCCGTAGAATGGTCCTGGTCACCAATTACCAACTAGTCCCACAGATTCTGGGAACTTGAATTTGAGCCTCTGATCCAGTTGCATTATGGGAAATGGGATCTTTACAGCTGTCCCCAAAGTGTGATGGGAAGCAGGGAGCTTAGATTCTAATGGAGTGCTGAGAAACCAAGCCCTTGATATGATAATACTGTGAACTGTGAGAAACAATAGCTGTTTTGGCCACTAAAGCCCCACGTGCATGCAGGAAACATGAGACATTAATTCAAAAGGATCTTGGGAAATGGAATCACCGTTTCCAGTCTCAGCCTATCTCTTCCTCCGCAGGTCTAGCCTGGGCTTCCTCACCGGCTTAGGTGTTGAGCCCGAGCAGCCCCAGGAAGTTGGCTCCAGGTCTTGAATGCTGTCCTTGCTGCCTCTACGGCTGCAGCGATGTCCTCAGCCTGTGCTTGCAAGCAGTTGGCCAGCCTTTCTCCTGCAGAGGCAAGTGGGAGCCGGGACGGGGAGCCCATGGTAGAGCCAGTGAGGGCGGCGACATCAGCCCTAGCTCCCCGTGAAGTCGGGGCCTTCCTGCTTCAGTCACCGTCATTGCTCCAAGTCCCAAAGGCAAGACGCGACTTTCTTTTCCTTCTCTCCCTTCTCGTATGTTTTCAATTGTTATTTATTGATTTGGAGTTAGTTATGTGCATGAGTGTTTTGTCTGTGTGTTTCTATGTACACCACATACACACGGTGCCCACAGGGAGCAGGTGTCAGATCCTCTGGAACTAGAGTTACAGGGAGTTGTGAGTCACCATGGAGACGCTGAGAACTGAACCCAGGTCCTCTGTTCTTATCCAATGAGCTATCTCTCGAGTCTCTCTTACCATGTCTTTCAAATTGTTTGTTTGCTTTGGTTTTCTGAGACAGGGTTTCTCTGTGTAGCCCTGGCTGTCTCAGAACTCACTCTGTAGACCAGGCTGATCTTGAACTCAGAGATCTGCCTACCTCTGCGCCTGGAGTACTGGGATTAAAGGCGTGTGCCGCTACCACTCAGCCTTTTAAATTTATTTTTAACTATGTGTATGTATGTGTGTCTATGTGTGGGTATGAGCACTTCAGTGCATGGAACCCGGCGACCAGCAGAGGGCGATGGATCCCCTGGAGCTGGAGTTACAGGTGGTTGTAAGCAGCCTGATGTGGGTGCTGGGAACTGAACCTGGGTCTTCTGAAAGATCAGTAAACACTTCTAACCACAGAGCTGTCTTCTTCAACAACTACCCCTCACTTTTTTTTTGAAGCCCCTCCCCCTGAAGCCAAGGCTGGCCTGGAGCTCACTCTCTAGTTCAGGCTGGCTTCAAACTCATGGTCTCCTACTTCAGCCTCTGGGTTGCTGGGATTCCTGGTATGAGCCACCACACTCAGTTTGAGGAAGGGAATTTAGTAGAGAGGGGCTTTAAAAAGCCTTTTTGGGGTGCACTAGGAACTATCATTAGTGAGGCTGTCCTCAGGTGAGAACTCTCATCCCCACCACCCTCAGCGGCTGCTCCCACTCAGAGGCTTGAGCAGCAGTAGTTAGGTATGGACATGGCCGCCACCCTGAGAGGTCTCTGTCCCTCCCGGGTGACTGGGCTCATCAAAAACCTGTGACGGGGTCCTGGCAAGGCACTGGATTCCTGTGTTCCGGCTTCAGCCACATCCCATTGACATAGTGGCCCAAGAGGCGGTCGTGGGTGTCCAGCCAGGCCTGAAGGAAGAGAGTTGGAGAAGGGCCTGAGGCAGCTGGGGCAGCCAGAGTTCTCCTCGAGGAGACATTCCCGCTCTTTTGGCCTCAGCTGATTTTTTTCCTCCTGTGTCTGTGCTTTTGATTTTGTTTTGTGCTGGTGACTGAACTCAAGAACCTACGCTTTATCAAATTATACTTCCAGCCCTGGTAGTTTTTTTTTATTATTATTACTATGGTTAAGACAATCTGAAACTCACTATGTTAGCCCATCCTGCTGCATAGCCTATACAGCCCCAGTACTCAGGCCAGCCTGGGCTACACAGCAGAATCTTGGACACTATTCTTTTTTCTCTTTTTCTCACCCTTTTTGAGACAGGGTGCCGTGTAACAGTCCAGGCTGGTCTAAACTCACTGGTGCCGTGAATGGACTGATCCTCCTATCTCCATCTCCTGTGTGCTCCACTATGCCTGACTTAAATATGAAATGTTTAAAGAAAAAAACACATTTTCTTCCACAGAGAAATGGCTTTAAGTTAATTCTGTTTCCCTGGAAACATGCAGTAGTGTTTTTTTTTTGGTTTTGGTGCTGGGGATGGAACCCAGGGCCTTGAGCATATTAGGCAAGGACTCTCCTGCTCAGCTTAATTCCAGGACTGAGCTCCACTGACTTCACACTGAGCAGGACACCTGGCGTCCAGGACACCGTGTCCCCAGCCAGCATCCTACAAACAAGATTACCTGTGCTTCTCTTTGTCACGTGGGGCTGCTGAGCCAGCCAAGTGCAACCACCCATGTAATCTATCCATCTCGGCCCCCATCACTGGGAGAACAGTGAGGACTCGAGGCTCAGTGCTATGCAGCCCTGCGCAGGCTACCAGGCTGTGCGAGTCTGCCTGAGGCTTGATGTGTACTTGCTGCACAGGCCTGGCCTAGCCTGGAGTCCTAGCTCTGGGGCTTAGCTACCATGTAATTGTTCTTGTTTTTGTGTGTGCACATTGCATGTGAACGCCAAAGTTTGATGTTGGGTGTCTTCCTCAGTTGCTATCTTATCTTATTTTTTTTTTTTTTTTTTTTACATGGACCACATTCCAAAAAAGTTACCAATGG